CTTACATGGCTCCCAGGCCTGAGCTGGACTTTCTGGTTGGGAAAGAGCAGGCTGAACCTGGGGCCCGGGCAGCTCTCTCACAGCCCATTGAGTGAGCACAAGGCACAAGGACTTAATTGCCCAATCATGGTGTGAAGAGGGGCTACTCAGCCTGGGGGTGAGGTAGGTGACATTGGCTGGGTAAGGTCTTACCTCCTGCAGTCTAGTTGCTTCTTCCCCCTAGCTTTCTGTTCTTACTTTATAAACTAGCACAGATCCGAATGTGCCTTAAAGACCATGTGATTACCAAGTTCAACTAGTCCTGACCGAACTAGTCTTCTCAAATGATAACTTTCATATTCCACTTTAGAAATAGCAATAGGCTCGGTCACATCCCCACAGTAACCATAACCACAGAGGTTGGCAGGAGAGTTGTTAATCCCCATTGTGTAGACACAGCAACTACAATTTAAAGAAGGAAGCTGGTGGCCTAAGATGACTTAAGCAGAGAGAAGGAAGCTGGCTTGATTGGAAAAAAGATTTTTCCTCAACTTATCATCTTTGGGCTTTATTACATTTCCTTAATAGGAGATGTTGCTGCCTTTTTCATGCATCTGTAAATCCTACCCTCATTCACATAGTGTTTTTCAAAATTAGATGCTATTTTTTTTCCTCACTCCCTTCTCCGCATAGATAATGTTTTGTGCTAAGAGAATCACTGGTACGTGGTCTATGTAAATGTAGGTGTGGATATTGTCATTGGTCTCCAAAGCCACGTGCTACTGCTTAGCCATTCCTTCTTTGACACTCTCTCCAGGAGACCTGCAGGTATCAATCTAGAGTTTCATTTTTCTCCAGAACTTGCTAGTATGCCCTTTCCCCTGAGTCTGAGGGCTTAGATCAGCTGGGCCCCACACCAGAGAGGGAGTTGGGGCTTCAATCTCCATGGAATCTAGTTTGTGCCAGATGAATGCCTCCATTGCCCTGCCCTGGCACATCACCTTAGCTTTGACCAGAGCATGGCCTGCAGAATATAGCAGTTGAAAATGCTGGCAGCCATGCCCTGGAATCCGCACATCTGGACACAGGGGTTAGGGCCAGGAGCCACACATTCCGACCTCACTCGCCTCAGCCTGCCCAGTGTCACGCTTGCCGCTGGGCACATAAGCCAATTGTCTGTCTAGGCAGCCTGGGCTCCATCCTCAGGGGAATTGACTCTACTGTAGGTGGGGTTAGGGTCACTCCTGATCCAGCTTTAGCAGGCTGGGACAGGTTAGAGGGACAAAGGCAAAGTACCTTAGTTGAGCCTTTAATCACCAAGACATATGTCCCTGACTGTTCCAACTAGGAGGGAGCCTCAGGGCTTCCCAGCTTTCGTGAGATGGTGTATTGTCAGGAGCCAGTGTCCCTGACATCCTGTTCAGTAATAACCCATTACATTCTCTAGATTCTTGCTAAGGAGGGCTGCTGGAGAATTTGTTCTGTAGTCCTCCTCCGAGCTCCCTCGCTCCTTTGTCTTTTGGAGCAACTGCAGACTCTTTGAAACTTCTGTACCTCCTAACTTCACTTCTCCTGAACCATTTGCCTCTGGGTCTGGAGTGGTGTGGGTGCAGCCATTGCCCAGACCCAGAAGGGAATGCTAGCTGGGCCTCTATCTCCACTTTCTCTTTTTCAGTGGGACCAAACATATCTGTCGAGTGCTTGGTACTGTCAAGGGATTTTATTTTGTCTAGTATTTCATTTAATAATCTCAGTACTGTAAGAATTGGATGTAGTGAATCCCATTTTACAGAGGAAGAAATGGAAACATAGAGTTATACAACTTGCCTAGGTCAAGGAGCTAGTCACTAAGGAAATCAGCATTTCTTTTTCTCCATTTAGGTACTGAAGATTGAACCCAGGGCCTTTGTTCATACTGAGTTACACCCCCAGCCCCCTTCCCCACTTCTTTTAACTTGAGACGGTGTCTTGCTAAGTTGTCCAGACTGGTCTTGAACTTGTGATCCTCCTGCCTCAGCCTCTCAAGCCTCCAGGATTACAGGTGTGCACCACTGCTCCTGGCTGGTATCAGGATTTCAATCCAGGCTTATGACTCCAGTAATCCTGAAGGAGCAGAAAAACAGTTTGAGGGGCCTTAGAGTTGGTTTCTTTGAGCCTGAGCTCCCTGATTATTTGGTGTCTGAGAGCAGATGGACTAATACAGTGGAGGAAAACAATGAATATGGGATTAAAAGGTCAGGGCTGCAGTCTCAGCTATGACACTTAACTGAGTGACCTTGGAATAGTCCTTTGGGCCTCAATATACCCATGTTATACTTTTAAAAAATATTAATGTAGAGTCCCAGCACAGACTGATTAAATCAGCCTTCTGGGAAGCCCCCTCCTTGGGGAGAGGGGTGCTGATTTTTTTAATGCTTCCTAGCTGATTCTAGTGTGTGTCCAGGACTGAGAATCACTGAGCTATGTGATTTAGACCACCGCTCCCCAAACCTTAATGTGTGTGCAAATTGTTATGTATAATTGTGATTCAGTGAGTCTGGAGAGGGGAAGGACCAGGCATTGTACATTTCCATCAACTATCCATGTGATGGTCTGGGATCACACTTTTGAGTAGCAGTGTGTTGGAGGGCTCTAGGTAGGAATGAAAAATGTGGCACCCATCTGAGTGACCTTGTCCCCTTCCTGCCAACTCTGGCTAGGCCTGTTACCTGGCACCAGTGGAACAGGTAGCTTGTCACACTCCTGTGAACTCCGTGACCTGACAGGTGGTGCAGATGGGTAAGTTTTGGGGTTTCATGACTGCACCCTCCTACCTTTTTCTGGCTCAGAAAGGGAGGAATAAAGGACGAAGGTACCTTTCTCCCTGCCTCTCCTCTATTCAGCCTCTAGCCACAAATGAGTGAAGCCTGCAGTGGCATTTCAAGAGTGCGTACCAGATGTGCTTGAAGTGGCTATGCCAGACTTGCGATCCTTTCTGTGCCCACCCATCTGGAAATTCTGACTTGCTCTATCCTTTGGTGTCTCCTTTTTGTCCTAATGACGGGAAAGCCAAGCCGAATGCCAGGAGAGGAGGGACGCTGAGATTGAGGAAATGTCTTCTCCCGGGGTGTGGCAGGAATTGGGGACTGGGAAGTGGTTTTGGCATTCAGCTCAGCTGTCCTAGCAACAAAATCTTGTGTTTCAAATCCTCTCTGGGCTGGTCTCACCACATCATCCACACCACCGCTGGCCTGAGAGGTGGACCCTTTCTCAGGCCTTCATCGCCCCCTGCCAGACAGGCTGAAGTATTACTAGCAGGGCTGTCAGACACGATCCAGAGCTCCGAAGTCCTGCTGATTCCTGAATCATCTCATAGGAAAGAAAGTCGCAGTAAGATAGAAAACATGCACGCGTGTGTGTATGCACACACAGATGCAATGCATGTACAGACTGAAGCATTGGTAGTTGTACACAGCTGTGTGTTTCCACACAATACCAGTTGTCGTGGATCATGGATGTGAGCAAAATTGGCTACAGCTATGTGTAGAGACAGATGCTAGAGTGGGTGCTGACCTTATTCATGCACAGAGGTTAATGCACAGAGGCAATGCACAGAGGTTAATCCCTGCCTGGCTCCTGTCTCCTCTCTCCTCTCTGCTCCAGTCCTCATCAGTACGTGACCCTTGAGAGCCCTATGATAATTTCTGACTGCCTTCCACTTTGTTCTACTCTTCCTTCTCTTGTGTATTTGACAAGCATCTCTGAAGTACTGTTTTAAGAGTCCTTTATCTCACCGGTCCTGACTGCTACAATCTCTTCCTGGATGTCTTTTGTGAGCAGAGCACTGGAAAGAGAGAGCAGTTCCGGTCTTGGAAAAACTCCACCAGTCTCTTTGGAGTCCTCTGGTCAGCAGGGCCAGGCAAGATGCTGGCCATAGGCGCTAAGGAAGTGGAGGAAATGTCAAGGACAGGACACCATGGCCACAGCAGTTCTGCTGAAGCCATCAGCCTTCTTCTGCCAACTGCTCAGTGCCAGGGTCCATGGTCCCAGCCCCACTGGTCCTTTGTACCAAGTGGGTTGGGAGCAGGTAGCTGCCTGGGCACTCCCAGAGCTTCACTTCTGGTATTCAGCCTACTCTGGTGACCACGAAGGCCTCCTCTGTGGCTTCAGTCCAGCCGCACATGTCCACTGAGCCGACAGCAGGGCCCAGCTTTGTGTCAGGCAGTCCAAGAGCAGAAACTGGGAGATGACCTAGCTGTTGCCCACCAAGACTCCCACAGGCCAGCATAGCACTCAGCATTGTATTGTGTCACAATAGGTTGAGGTGTGGAGGAGAGTTGGGGCAGTGTTGATGAGTGGTTGGGGGAGAAGAACACTGGGGAAGCTGCTGTCGGAAAGACAGGAAGCCCATGCTGGAGTCATACTGAACTTGGACTTCGACCCCAGCCACTTCTTTGTCGACCGCAGGACATTAGACAAGTCTCTTCCTTTCTGAGACAGTTTACACATCTGTGCCACGGGGATGGTGAAATCTTTGTAGATGACTGTGTATGTTAAGTGAGTTCTGGCGGTCAAAATGCTGGAGGATGGTAAGTTGGAGGACGAGAAAGGGAATAGATGCTGTTAAGTATTTTCTGTCTCCTGGATGGACTCGGGCACTCTGCCCGGGGCAGTAGAAAGGAATGGCTCTCTGAGGAAGACTCGTGGGGAGGACGCAAGTATGGCTTCTTATTCCAGCAGTACTCCCTGACCCCAGGTGATCCTGGGAGTTGCTGCTGGAGTTGAGTGCAGGAGCGGGTGTACAAGTGTGGCGAGGTGGGGGTCAGGCAGGGAACGAGGCTCATTCATGACCACTGTGGCCAGGATAGGAAGCAGAGGGTGTCTTCACTGGGTATGACCTGGAGCAAAGGTACCAGTCCCTCTGTGCTTCACTTGCCATGCTTGGGCCACCAAAACTAAATGTGCCCATCTCCTGGGGAAGAGGGCACCAGCACCCTGCTAACCCCATTTCTGTGCCTATTTCTTTCCCTGTTCTCTTTCAGAAGCAGAGGCCAAGAAAGCATGTGAATGGCTCCGAGCTACAGGATTCCCTCAGTATGCTCAGCTTTTTGAGGGTAAGGCTACTCAATTGCTTGCCCTCCCCCATTCCAAATCTCTCTTTGTACGATGAGTAAATAAGATCCTTTCTCCAAACACACAGAAGCTGCGTGTCCTGCACCTGATCACATTTTGCAGAGCCTTTACTGTGGAAGTTATAACCGCTGTCCTCCTACATTTTTATTTCTTCACTGGATCTTTCTTAGCAACTTACACAAGCTCTGGTATTAGCTATGTTGTAAGAGACCATGTCTTGCCCAGGGCCACTGCTCTATACCACTCCTAGGATAGCCATTCACAGATGCAGTGTGAAGGATACTCTGGAGTTGTGCACCCTGCTGGTCCAGCCTGGATGGACCTCACTTTGTCCACAGTGATGGAATCATTTCTCTTCATTTTTGTTTTATTGTTTTTATTTATTTTTCTCATTGAGTTTATCGGTACATTTTAGGTATACAGTATAGTTACATTCATCATTGGGATCTTGTACCTTTACATGACAGGTCTTGGTTCTCATTTTTTCCCCTTGTTCCTGCCCTCCCTTCACCGTCTCCTCCCCTCCCCATTTATAAACATTTTATTTCCATTTTTTCATTTTGTCATATTTTTTTATTTTCCCTTATTCCCTTTCCCCTACCCGTCCCACTTTCCCTACACCTTTTGCCCTTTTCTTCCTATTTCACATTGTCAATTATTAAGATCTTATGTACTATTATAGCTTTTCACACCAGAGAAACTATTCGGTATTTACAGACGTGTGACTTATTTATTTCACTTAGGAGTATATCCTCAATTTGTATCCATTTTCCTATATGAATGTATCTAATTTCTCATTCCATTTTTCTCTTCATTTTTATTGAAGATTTTTTTATATTTGCTACTTCTTCTCCTTTCTTCTTCCCACACTTCTACTACACTCTGGCTTTACCCTCCCCTCACTTCGTCAATCTAATGAGTCACTTCCACGTGGTCAAATTCAGTGTTCACTTCCCAGTCTTCATCTGAACCCCAGCTGTCAACAATGTGCAGGTGGCCCCTCCTTCCTTTGGCTTCTGGAACACCCCCTCTCCTGGCTGCCTCTCTGCTGCTCTCAGTCTCCTTAGCTGACTCTGCTCCCTCCAACTGCTATATAAATATTAGGCTATCCCAGGCTTAGCTTGGGCCCTCTATTCTCTCAACACTTCTTGCCACGAGATCCTTGTCCAAGTACATCTATACTCTGATGACTCCCAAATATCTTGTCCACACCTCATTCCCAAGCTCCCAACTCATCTATTCAACCTCCAGTTACCTCTCTCTCTCTCTCTCTCCCACTCTCCTTTTTCTCCTCATCTCCTCCTTTTTTTCCTTCCTTCCTTCCTTCC